CACCATTAGACAAAGCAGCTGCCTGACCAAAATTATCCTCCTCATTATTCGATGATGACGGTTCATCTTTCGGTGATTTTTCTTCCGGCAATTCTAAATGAAAAAAGAACGATTATTCATGATTTCTTTTTTATATTGACTACTAGCGGGCGTACCCGCTGCAAAATAAGAAATATCTATGTCGAACGTCTGACGTGTTGAAAAGCTGCAGCAAATAGAAAAATGAATAGACTCGAAGTGTGTACGCTGGCGGCTCTCAAATTTTTCTCGCCTTGTATTGCACAAAACGACAACTTCAATTATAGCTCTTTATGCAAAAGAGTTACTGAAACTGATTTCTGCCTTGGAACTTATTCAAATTTCGTCTCTCTGTCTCTCTCTCCCTAATATTCATTCTACACTCCAGCTATTCATTCATCGACCTCTTTCTCACTATCACGTCATTTCATACCTTATATCCTTCAAATTCACCCACCCTCAACATTTATCTTATTTTTTTGAGATCCTGTAACGCTATTGGTGAGTTTCGCAGATTATCTGTAGCATTCACCGAACTATTATAGGCGCAGAGATCACGTGGATTGATGTCCTTGAGCGCTCAGACGGCCTTCGCTACCGGCACGCTGCAATTTTTCACATCTCGCAATCCTATTAGTCAGCTTCGCAGGTTGCTTGTAGCATGTATAGGACTCCCATGCGCACGTAGAACACGTGGATTGTTGTCTATGAGCGCTCAGACGGCCTTCGCTATTAATTTCCTCAATTTGGGAAATCTCGCAATCCTATTGGTCCGTTTCATATATTGCCTGCAGCAAACGGCTGGCTCCTTTGTTCTCGGGGGAAAAGTAGATGTCGACCTTCCTCTGGGTCTCAGGAAGCATTGTGGAAAGTTCCACTCCGATAGCTACTACAGGGACTGAGTGCATAGCGTACAAACAAACAAACAAACAGACAAACTTTCTTCTTTATATATATAGATAGATGCAAGAGAAATAGAGATCAGAACATCATTAAATTACTTTTGAATGCTGGATGTCATCCGGATTGTGTGAATAAGGAGGAGAAAGTTCCATTAGATTATATCGCCGATGAACAGATCGAGGCTTTATTCACAACAAAATTGATTCCAACACCTCACAAATGCGTTAACATCAGCTTTGAAGAAGTTTATTTCTTCACATAGTAATTTGTGGACTCAATTATTGGTCGATGTTTGTTTTTTTTATTAAGATTGGTCATTGAAAAAGGCGCTGAGAGTAAAATGCAAATCATTTTGTCATATTGTGATTCATGTAATTGCATCATAGTAACGTCAGAAACATGACTCATCATTCAGTGACGTTTTCTTACTACTCTGTTCTGTCATTTCAACAAACAACTCTATATTTTCAACGTTGTCGTGATTTCTTCAATGAACTTAAATAATTTATCACCAATTCAGGTTTTCGTTCGAATCAAACCCAGCAGTTCTAATGATGAAGATGAATTAGTTCCATTCAAAATTTCGAATCATAATACAGTTCTGACTTTATCTAACTCACATCGATTATCGTTTGACAACATCTTTTCACCTGAATCAACTCAATATGATATATTCGAATCAATTACTCCTCTTCTTCATTTACCATTACATGGTTATAGTTCAACTATCTTTGCATATGGTCAAACAAATAGTGGTAAAACATATACAATGTTAGGACCCAATGGTAAATTGTCTCTCGCTGCTGATTCAATGGGAATTATACCAAGAACAAGCCGGTATTTGTTTGCTGCTATACACGAACTTACATCTTCGTCTTCGTCGATTCAATATCAAATACGTGTGAGCTATTTAGAAGTCTACAACGGTCGTGTTTATGATTTACTAAAAAAGAGCGATCAAAAGAGTAACAACAAACTCCATTCCCTGAGCATTCGCGAAGATGGGCAGGGTAATATAAATGTTGCCGATGCAGTAGAAATACCCGTGCACAGCAGCTTAGAATTGGAGAATATATTGATACAAGGGAATCAACGGCGTGCAACTGCTTCTACATATATGAATTCATCATCATCACGTAGTCATGCTTTGTTAATTCTCTGGATCGAACGACGAGAACGATCAACATCGGCATCATCGCGAGAATATACATCATATTTGGGTCGTTTAAATTTGATTGACCTAGCCGGTAGTGAAGACATCTCACGTTCAAAAGCTGAAGGCGATAGATTTCGAGAAGCAGTCAATATCAATACTGATTTATTACAATTAAGAAGAGTATTGGATGCTTTGTCAACATCTTCGCCGCATATTCCTTACAGAGATTCGACATTAACTCGTTTACTTCAATCGTCATTGACAACAATGCAATCCATCACAATTCTTATTTCTCATATCAGCTCTATGAATATCGATCTCTATGAAACTCTTAGTACATTAAAATACTCTCAAATAGCTAAATGCGTACAGCGTACATCGATTCCTGTACCGAAATTATGCAAGAATATTGACACGAGTGACGTCATGTTCGGCGATTACAATGATCCCGTACAGTATTTTCATCGTCGCACAGTTTATATTCACACACCTTCCTATGGAAAAATATTTGCTCGAATAGCAGGGCATCGACCTGAGGAGCAACAAAAATGCATACTACTCATTCATGGCTCTGGACCTGAAAATTCTTCTATGTATTGGAATGATTTTGTAAGAAGGTTACTATCGGCAACCTCGCCATCTCCCTATTATTTCGTTGCTGTTGATTGTCCCGGCTATGGTCGTTCGGAAGGTAATAAAGAAACAATTCGTTCGTATCCTGGTGATTTTATTCAAGAAATCATCAGTTGTATTTCACCCATAACACATCAAGTATACTGTCTCGTTGGTTCATCTCAAGGAGCCGCTGCTGTGTTCAATGCACTGGTTGACAAACCCAACATATCCTTATTTTTAGCTGTGCAAGATCCTGTCTCTCACGATCCTCAACGTTTTGTATCAATAAAACAACCTGCACTACTGATGTATGATGTAGATGATGCTGGCCATCCTGTTAGTGTTGGCAGATTAGTTAGGAAATATATTCCAACGAATCACTACTATGAATTTTCAAGTTTAAAAGAATCACACTGGCTAGAAGATAATGCCCATTTGAAATTACTACAATTATTTAATGATTATGACACGAATAAAGGTGCAACAGCATCTTCCAGTACTTCTCTTCCTGCGTGTGTGTCGGTCGCAGGTGGCATAGTGTCATATTTATCGTCATACGATCGTGAGCCGTTTTATGAATATTCAAGGAGAGAGTTGGAATCAATTTTATCAACATATGAAAATCAGAGTGTTCAAAATGACGATCTATTCGTTGAAAAAAGCGAACCTGAACAGATTGAAGATGAGGAAAGTAAAGCACAACGATTAGCTAGAGAATTAGTTCAAACACATTGCGATTTATGTGGCCAAGACGTTGGTAACAATAATATTCGACTATCTGATTGTCGTCATTTATTATGCTATTCATGCTGTTGCGAAACAATCAAACTGAATTCGTACGAATGTCCTCTGGCTGATTGTGCAACAAGACTGAGCATATCTTCCTCACAACTATCATCCTATCCTTTGCCGTTCTCGTCAGCAAATGAAAAACATATCATTATCCAATTTGGAAATTCTTGTAGAACAATATCAGCATCCAGTCAACGTTATGAATACACCGCTTATGTGAAATGTAAAACGAAAAATATAATTGAAAATGTTTCGTTTGATATCAATCCTGGATATCCAAAGAGTGCTATACGTGTTTCCGATGCTCCCTATGAATTAGTTCGGATAATGAACGCAGAATTCGTCTGTGATTTCCTTATTCGATGGAATAAAGCGTTGAATTGGCCGAAACTACGTATCACTTATTACGTCCAAAACAAAGAAGAAAATTTTATGAGAAATTTGTTAGTGAGAATACCAAATCAAGGCAATACAATGACTAAGCCACGAAAATCACCTGAAGAAGTTGTGTATCACTGGGCTGACAGAGACACAACAAAGCCAAATATCAACTATATAATTTTGTCATATAACTAATCTTCTGTGCTCTCTCTTCAATATTTTGACATTTCAAGAATGAAGATGATAATAAATATGTACTGCTTGCTCTTACGCAGATCCTCAAAGAACAATAGAAAATATACGAAACTTGTCCTAATTTCTTGTTCATTTTCTTCAGAACTTAACATTCATGCTAACTAAATTTTGGTTTATTCCGAGAGATATCCATGTGATTTGTCAGTTCCATATCGATATTCATCATCTAGATGTTATTTCTTGCTGAGTTGTGTGAGTTATTTGTTATGTGACCGAAACGATTACTGGGAATGGTTTATGGTATAGTAATACTACGCATGATTCAAATTACCATGATGGTATTGGCTTGGCCTTTTTCTCATTTGATTATAGATCGAATACTTCGCGGTCAAGTCGAATACGTTCACTCCGTCATAGATAGACAAGTAACGCGGCTTAGTAGCCACTAAACCGTTTACAGAAAGGATAGTATAAGAGCGCTACTATTCGTCCAAAGAGAGAAAAAAAAGTTATTTCAGTTGAACGATCTGATCATTTGATAATTTGTCAGAATGTTTTACTTAGACCAATTTCGCTTCCTGAAATCTTCTGAAATTATAACGTCTAGTCATTTGTCGGCCTCTCTCCGGTCGACCACTCACGGCTAGCTGTTCCCATGCGTACTCATTTTACTACCTTAACTTCATTCGGACGAAGACGCATTCCGAAAATGAGCTCATTTCGGAAAATCAATTCATAATCAAAAAGCTTTCGGCGCAATCCCTAACGGGATTAAAAATTGTGAAACACGATCCAGCTGGAGGAACTTTTTGCTTCATCAGTCACAAATATGTGATGCTTTTTACTGCGCTTCCATTAGCCAATCACGATCGGTGACGCGATTTACGTGCGTCAGTGTAACGAAGTTGGCAATGGACCTGTATGTGAGACAATGACACACAGCTTATTTGGATTTTCTCCTAACAAGCTCTCACTCTTCATTTTTTAGGTGCACGTCTTTACAGAAAACAGTGAATTACGGTCAAGTATACTAACAAATCCAGGACAGACGGGTTATAGGCTACATGCGTGCCAAAAGGCAGGTGGCAACAATAAGTCCCGTTAGACTCCGTAATGATCTACGGGATAAGGATTAGCGAGCGGAAAATCCCTCTGTCTTACAAAAAGAATGGAACAGTTAGATTAATAGCAAATACGTCCGCTGTAGATGTTTTTACTGCAAATAGTGTATTAGACTTATGAACCTTAACTGGTAGTAGTTTGCACTCTATGACATTTACTCTCTATATAAGGTAGAGTATTGCAGCGCACTTGTATGTAGTGCACCGCTTATGCCTAATGACCTTTGAACCTTTCGGTCGAAGTATGAATTTCTTAACGGTCTGTGAGTGGGTTTTGGAGACCTGTCGGTCACGATCTGTGGGGGGGGGGGGGGGGGGGGGTAAAATTTTTTCCCTTAAAACATTCAACACCCCCCCTCGGGCGTNTCTCCTTCGGATCGTGTTTCAAAAAACTTAGAAAAGGTTATATAGCTATATGATTCTCTGGAAAAGGTTTCAATCCTCTCTCTACCAAGAGGAACCTTAAATAGCTACCACCTATGTTCGTGCAGAGCAAAGATTAATATCTGACCAAGAAATCTTAAAGCTCTATAAAAATCACAGAGTTTGTTCTTACAAATATTATTCTCCAAATCGAAGACTAGTCGCTCGTCGGCCTCCCCCCGGTCGGCTACTCGTGGCTAGCCGTTACATGTACATTTTCACTCTTCCATTTAGTCTAGAGTCACTTTTGAAACTAATCCATTCATTCTCCTCTATTCCTTCCTTAAAAGTCACCCTCTTNGAAAATATACGAAACTTGTCCTAATTTCTTGTTCATTTTCTTCAGAACTTAACAATCATGCTAACTAAATTTTGGTTTATTCCGAGAGATATCCATGTGATTTGTCAGTTCCATATCGATATTCATCATCTAGATGTTATTTCTTGCTGAGTTGCGTGAGTTATTTGTTATGTGACCGAAACGATTACTGGGAATGGTTTATGGTATAGTAATACTACGCATGAATCAAATTACCATGATGGTATTGGCTTGGCCTTTTTCTCATTTGATTATAGATCGAATACTTCGCGGTCAAGTCGAATACGTTCACTCCGTCGTAGATAAATATAAAGAGGAAAAACCTGACAAAATACTTCTTGACCGTTAGGATAAAATTTTAATGGATCACATTCACATTCGTTTTGACCCTCATTCTTTTCTAAATCATGGTTTAACACTTTTTACAAAGTAAGAAACCGTATAAATGTAATAGCCACTAATTTAGAATACTTAAAAGCATGTTTGTAGAAATTATACGGCGCATCGGTACAATTAGTACGCTAATAAAAGGTGTCTATTTCTTTGTTCCTGCACTTTTCGTTCCACTAGTTGATGTCAACAGACCTATTTCTTTTTATGATAATCAGGAGTAATGCAGATTCTGGAAACAAAAGAATTCAACGCTCTCAATTTGGAGAAAAAAACAGGACAGCAATTCAAATACGGGCAGAACGTGACAATATTACATTACTGAAACCAATGGGTGTCGTACTTGATGCTGATGGCGATTTGTTTATCACAGATATAGATGGTCATCGTATTATTAGATGGGGTCCGAATGGAGCTCAATGTTTAGTTGGATACTCGGATACATCAGGCTCAGAACCTCATAAATTATATCATCCTACAGTGATGAACTTTGACAGTTTTGACAATATGTTTGTCGTTGGCTCTGATAACCAACGCGTGTTCAGAAATTCTATTTGGTCACCAATTCTTGCGACATGATGACAGGCAAGGCGTAAATCTGGTCAACTTTATTATTTATGATTTCTATTTATAGTTGAAGCTTTGACCAATAGTATGACAACGGCACATCTCACCGCAGCAATGCTAAAAACTACAAGTTAGTGTACTTTTCGACTTATCGATTGTCTTGATTTTCTTTTTCAGTCGGACAATCAATGTTAAGTTTTATCCCTAAACCATGTAATGACACTTCGTCTATCGGTTCTATCTGTAATAGTTCGAGTAGTATCTGTATTTCGTCTAATCCATGTAAAAATAATGGCATGTGTAGCAATGTAAACAACAATACTCTCGATTTTCTCTGTTTCCGTCCAGCAGGTTACAATGGAACATATTGTGAAATTGATCACCGACCTTGTAAACCACATACCTGTCTAAATCAAGGTACACATAAACTTCTCTTTTGCCTCATGAAAAATCATGCTGGTATAGATAAATGTGATGACGGTTGACAAGCTCTTCATTGTGAATCATTGGTTAATCACTGTGATTTGAAAAATATTACATGTCACAATAATGGTATTTGTCAACCACTATTCCTTAATTATACATGTGAATGTCTCGGCAATAATTATTATTCTGGCCGTCATTGTGAAATAACATCAAGAAAAATCGTGATCTTTAAATTTGTTTCCAAATCTTTTTCTTATATTGCAATGATCATTGTTGCTATGTTTATTGTGATTATGGATATATTGAAATATTGTTTTGGAATTGATCCAGTCGCTGAAAAACGACGAAGAATCCGTCGAGAGAAACTGCTGGAAAAACGAAAACGAGTTGTTATTCAACGATTCGTTTATGTTAATGCGCCCTCAAAACAATTAGCACCTAACATCCCAAGCATCACTGTAGAAGACACTTCTGTTTGACGAAAGAAAAACATTCACAGTTTCATGACTTTACTCCTCAAACTCTTTTTTCTTGTTATTTCGTGCGATGAAACAGAATCCTAATAAGTGTTACATATTTGTGAAATAACGTCAAAATTTTCGTATATATGTGCAGTTTTATTTCTAAATCGAAAAGTAAAAAAATAACGATGAATCATCAAATGATTATTTTGCTTTATGCGTTTATGACGAATTCATGGCACAATGCATTGGCTGCTGAACCTCCCAGTGTTACTAAAACATTTGCAGCCGCTCAAACCTTTTTTGCGAACCCCGAACGAGGATGGATTACACATCGATTCTCGGATGATATTTACGACGTTAATAGTCTGCGAAGTAGTGTCGAAAAAGTGTCACTACTCTTGATCAAAATAGACATATCAGCTTATCGGAATAGTTCACATATTGGGCAAAGTAAACTCAATGAAATTCGTTCAGTACTTGCGACTTGCCGTCAACAAGGTTTAAAAGCCATCATGCATTCGGCATATTCCTGGGATTTAGTTCTTGCTCCAGAACTGAAAAATCTCGAAACTGTCAAAGCTCATATCATGGACATGAAACCAATTTATTATGAATATGAAGATATCATCGTCGCTGTCGAAATGGGTATGTTTGGACCGTGGGGCGAAATGCATTCATCATATTTCAGCACCACGAACACAGCACTGTTTTATCCCATCAAGACCAGTGCACTCAGAGAAGTACACGCCACCTACATGTCTACATTGCCAACTACGCGGTCTGTCATCCTTCGTACGCCGTACTACATTCGTCAAGTTTTTAATAGTGATATTCCTCTTTCATCCGCTGAAGCTTATAGCAAGAATCCGAAAGCACGCACTGGTTATCACAACGATGCTTATCTTGCCAGCAGCAGTGATGAAGGTACTTTCGATTATGGATGGTCACGAGCTCAAGAACTCGCTTACATTGGTCAAATGACTCGTTATGCATTTTTTGGTGGAGAAACGTTTGGCACTCCTAATAGTGCATATAACAAAGCCCAAAATGCCTTGGCAGAATCAAAACAACAACATATGACATATCTTAATCGAGATTATAACCCACCGATTTATAATGCATGGGGCACCGCCGTAAAACAAGAATTTACGCGTAAACTTGGCTACTGTTTTCAGCTGCAAAGTCTTTCTCATTCAAAAGAGGTGGTACCCGGTGGCATTTTGAGTTTTTCTTTGAAACTACAAAATATCGGCTTTGCAGCTATGCATTTGACTCGACCTGTTAAATTAACACTTGATAATGATAAAACTGGCAATGCACGCATCACATACAACACCACTCTCAGTGTTGATCCTCGAACGTGGACACCTGAAGCCAATGTTATAAGTATTGATCGTAAACTTTGTGTTCCAGTAAATATCAAGGAAGGCGTCTGGCGACTACTTTTGACATTACCCGATGTTAGTACCCGTTTGCAGAGCGATGTACGCTATACAGTTCGATTGGCCAATAAAAACATCTGGAACACATCTATTAGCCAATGATATCTCTATTACGACTTCAGCTCCTGGTGTACGTGCAAATGAGACCGTATTCCGCGAGATTACAGCTTGAAATAAATAACATTTATTGATACATTGATCAAAATTATATGCTTTTCTTTTATACTAAATATAATGAACACGGGCTGAATGAATGAACGTTGCTTCATAATGTACTTGACTCTGTGACTGAATCACACTTGTTTCATACTTATCAATCGACGTCATCCACCTGGTTTTTTTATGTAACTCGTCTGTATAAATAAGATCAAATACAATCCATATGCTATGAAAAAGTATCGCTTTCTTCGCGGAAGAGAAACGAAAGATATTTGATCAACAAAAATCGTCAATGATGCGCTTCATGACTGAAACCATCGAAGTAGTGAAATACAAATAGTATATCAAGAATGGATAGAAAAAATGGGCACAACAGTGCTACCAAGAAATCGTATTAAGTTATTTTGCTACAGTTGAAGTAAATACACGACACATGTTCTATATTCGCAATATGAAAACGAAAAGGAAACAAGAAGCACATCGAGAACGAATTTCTATCCGCTTTCAAAAACTTTGAAAGTTGACACCTTGAAAAGAATTTCGAAAATGATATGCCACTGTAGCCAGACTGTATTTCTTTGAGCAAAGCATCATCCAGTAAATATACATTACCATCAGGACTTAGAAGCCCATTGTTATCTGTTTTTACAATGTTTTGCTATCGATCATACTTTAACAAAAAAGATACTCAGAAAACTATTTCTTCATAGGATTTCAAAAGCTTTGGCAAAGAAAACCTCTGGAAAGTATAAATATATGATCATTCCTACAGCTTTGTTAGTACGAATGCTCAAAATGTGGAATGAAAATTACGCACCGCATCATATCACGTCATACTTACCTATCTGACTGAGTATAACAAGCATGCTGAAACAGAAGCTTGACTTATAAGTATATGAATATCTATGGGATGAGCGTGCGCACTGCCATAGGTTGAAATCAAATCTTGGACGACGTTTCAACGGAAAATACATGTTTTAACACGATCTTTATTCGGTTTAAAAAAGTATTTTACCTACGAATCATTGTCGTATGCTATCCTATGTCAAAGAAATTCTATTTGCGAATGGCATTGTTATAGTTTCCTGTATGTGCTCGCTTTCTCAGCTTACCGCTACGAGATCAGAAAATAATACAAACAATGAGTCTGATGATTTCAGCATAAATAAATAAATAGGTGTTATAAACTTGGACTTTCGATATCCTACTGTAAAAGACCTTCCTCGGAGTTTAGTAAATCGACTTCAAAACAATTCGTGATTATTTTTCATTGCACAGCCGTAAAATGTCATTTCATGACAAAAAAATGCATTTCATAAAAATATATTATCACGAAGTAATACATGTGCTGTACAATTGAATGTGAGAGTACCCTATATAATACAGAAAAAAAATCAAGATTCTTAATTATATGTTGGCGTTGCCCTTTTTTTGAAGAAAGAAGCATCCAATCTTCTAATTGATTGAAAAGAAAATTCTCATTTCTTTGTTCTTCGCAACGAAAAAACCTCAAGTCGTTACACATCAAAATGGTTCTAAGTAAAAAAACTATACAAGTGGCACGAGTTGATCGTCATCGAGCACCAGTCTCGTCATTTGTCGATAAGCAGAATGTTACGGTTCGTCATTCGCAATCTCGACCAACCATTCGCAAAATCCATCGTAAACATCATCGTTCATTATCACAAGATCAAGTAGCTCTTCTGTAAGCTGCAACTGAATGCTGAATACTATTTTCGCAAACTTAATACTAAAACAGTGATCATCGGGATCTCTCATGATAACTGCGCATGTGAAACTGATTTAACATGTCATGGAACAATGTTTTTCTGTCGTAATAACAACTGGACTGATATACCGAACCTTTCTATCGGGTTGTTACTGATGTCTTCATTGCTGTTATCAACAACCACATGCTTTTACGATCAAAACTGTATAAATATAATCAAAAGTTTCATGAACTCAAACACGAAACTTTATAACAAGTTACATCCATTGAGAGTTGGTGGTGAAGAAAGTCAATACCCAACTAATGTGACCATAGAAACATTGATTGATAATTTATTTGTTGAAAAATGGAATGATTCTTACGACTATGATAAGTAATACAATTCTTGTAAACCATCATTTTGTTCTCATGAAATTGAACAACGACCTGGTTTTATATATACACTAACAAAATTAATTAGTGTGTTCATGGTGGATTGACAATTTATCTTACGATTTTTGATACCAAACACTGTTCGTTTAATTAGAAGAAAAAGACAAGCACAAAGAGGTATGATACTATATATGTAGAACTGCAGTTGAGAATTCTACTGCTATACAGACTACAGATAATCATTAAGGGTACCGGCATGCCACTGCCGTAAACATCAGGATAAAAGTGACACTTGAATTTGACACTAAAACTTGAAATCGAAATTTTTGTACTGGTTTGCATAGACGGTACGTCCCATTGGAACACTTTTCTTTTTAGTTGAGCCACTATTCAAATGATTACATCTTCGTTTCTAATCGTGCAAAAACCAACTACTTCAATGGAATTTATTTCCAAGCCACTCAACTGATCATCATTCAATACGAAAACAAATCTTGAGCAACACGAGTGTATATGTTCACTTTCATCATTATTTTATCTATTTGTCTTTTATACATATCTCTGAAAAACAAACTGATCAATGTACAGCTTTCATTAACAAGTTTAGAACAATATGAACAAGTATACATTCAATATGCCGATACTTTGAGTTGTCCATGTAATGAAATCTCAATAAAACATGGAGAACTTGTTAAACTGGCACCATCCTATCATGAAGTTTGTTCATTAAATTCTTTAAGTGAAGAATGGATTCATTATTTAGCCGATACTGACAGTACAGATCTATCGGGACTTGATACAGCGGTACCGTTTCAGTTTCAATTGCTTAAATCACTATGTCGATTATCACGAGAAGCAGTTTATTCGAGTTTGATACAATTGCACTCAACAACACGGGCCAACAATCAACTGATTTCAAGAGATTCATTCCAAAAACGAATTGATAATATGGTAGAGATATTTCAAAATCAACAAAAGAAACATTTAAACGAATCGTTCGTATGGTCCGTGAAACTCTTCATGGAAGTGCTGTCTCAACAACTTATACAACAAATTGGAACCATCTTTTTATTATGAAAAAGAATGGTGGCCAATATTTTTTACATCAGAAGTCTATAATACTAGTTCATGTACATGTGCAGCTTCGTTACACTGTCTAAAACCAGCTACAATCGATGACATACCCATTGCTGGCTTCTTTGTTGGTTGCTATCCGATTGAAGCTATACTACACTCGGCATCGGAATGTGTATATAATAGAACATGTATTGATTTAATTCAAATGAATGCTTCTGAAACGCCCATAGCGATCAAAATGAGTCTTTTACAATCGAAATATAAATATGATATCAATGAAACTGTTCAACATAAGATTGACCGATTATTCATTGATGAGTGGAGAATCAATCATTCTTATGAAAATTATTCTGACAAATGTCACTCAATGGAATGCACTTCATAGTGTAACAACTATTCTTGATCTCTATGGGTGTCTAACCGTACTTCTAAATCTTTGCATTCCATTTCTCATTGATATTGCCTTTCGAATATATGACAGGCGAATGCATATGGTTATTGCACCGGATACACCATTAGAAGATTAAGTTCGTTGCTGAGCCAACATTGACATTTGCTTATTTCATCATTCATGCTTTGTTTGTTTGTTCGTATCTTTTGCTTAAAATAATAAGATGACGCTGCAGTTTGAAGACTTGGCTTAGCTTTTTCTCGTAGAAAATTGTTTTCTAACCATCAGTCACCTATACTATATTGCTGCCAATCTAATTATAATAATTACTTATACAGTTTTAAAAATGCAACGGAGTTTTAGGTGACTTGACAAAGCATTGATGATTATGGTCCTGTAGAACATGCACAGCAGCATCCCAATGCGAACATTCAACTCCTATATTCAATTATCAAATGGAAAGCTTAGAATAGTGATGGTTCAACTTCAATTCAGACTTCCATCGATCAAAATAGAATAATTTTCACTTCATTGCATAGTTCCCTGTCTTGAGTGTTGAAAACCGCAGATTAATTCTTGTTTCCATTTTTGACCTATTCAAACACGCTTGCTTTCATTTTGTTCTGCCATACATGAAGTTAGTTAATTGTCTTAATTCAACATTATTGCAGAAAAAATTCCGATGTATATAAATAGCGTCGTCAGGACATCACCGGTGTTCGCCAGGGTACGAGGGTGAGAACGATAGTGAGTTTGGGCACAAGTTGCCTTTCTATTTTATAGCTCACTAGTGGTCATGCCAGTGATGGGCCACTTCAGCCAAGTCCAAACAGAGTAGAAATCCCAACACCTTCTATTTCCATCATCCTCAAGCTGGACGAATTGCTGGAAGAGCTTTTTCGCGATATTTAACTGTCCTTTCATGTAACGAGATTCTTTCCAAGTACAGTCACCTAACTGTTGATAGACATAGGTCAGAGTGTGAGTATAACTAGAGGATAATGTTAGGTAATGAGCAGAAAGATTTTTTTTGTTGATTTCGAATCATCTTCTCTGAGGAGCAGATGCTTTCAAATCTTCGTTCAACGTTACATATACAATGTCTTTACAGTTGCAAATGAAAGTCAAGCCTATTTACGACTTGAGCCAAGTTAAATCGAAGCAAGTCAAGTGACTTATGGCTTGACTTGAACAATAACTTGCATATAAACACTTTTGGAGGTAATTTGACTTGATTTGAGTTGATAAATGGCGTTCTGATGCTAATTACATTTAAGAGCGAAAAACTACGACAGAATGGCTGTGGAATGTATTTTATTATATACGTCGAGTGGTAATTTAGTGACGATTGTGCTCTATGCGCTGTAATTTTTTCATTTTATTCATTGCTCGAAGGACATGCCTGACAAATCGATTCTTTCTACGTTGTCAATGTGTTTCGATTGGTTTTCTTCTACATAGCAGTATTCAAATAACTCAATAGCTACAAGCATACGTATTTTGCAATCGAACGTGCGATGATCGCCCTGTAAGGAGGCAAATTCAATCAAGCGAAAAGCAAACGAATAGTGACGTACGTGGTTCCATTCGTTACCATCTTTATTACTCTTACCATCCGTCATGATCCATTTCATTGTCGTTTGATCGATGAAGACGACAATGAAGAAAACAAGCGCATCTGGTGTATCGTTGTTTACCCACTCGCTGTCAGATTTTCAATTCATTTCTGAATATCTTGCATTCATTCACGCCTTTTATCACCAAAGCAGCTCGACGACGAGTGGATCTCGCACGTGATCAACAATATTTCCGCTTGGTTATCGAAAAGATACGAGCACATAGTCATCTATTTACTTCATCGGTTATTCTCATCGTTCTTACTTTGACACATCTGATCATATCGTTTGTTTCGAGTTGTATGAAATCCATCAACGATTTGGAATTGCTTCTTACTGGTTATTTCATTTCATTTCATTCTCCCCATCGATTCTCACCTTCGTCATATTCGTCGTCCCATCAAAAACGTATCAAGATGAGTTTCGGCAATCGATGAAAGAGTACCGAACAAGATTACAAGTTTTACTATCTTGAAAAAGACATGTTTGCTTCGCTTTATTACTCATTTACTTAACTCAACAAATTTGACACCATATTTTAACAAGGTTCAGGTTAAAAGCTCAAAGAAAAGTCGAAAGAATTACCTTTCTTGAATCATTACTACTGGTACTCGTTATCTTAAAATTCCTTGAAAACGCTCGTGATTACGGCCTCTTTGGGACTAAAATGTGAAACTCACGTACTTGTGTTTTGAGAACGAGACTATGGATTAGAATAGAATAGTTGGAGATTAAGCTCAGTTTCAAACCCACACCCTCACACCCTTCTTCGTATGAAATTGAGCAAATTCTGCCGAAATTCAGTGAATGTCATAAAATAGATTGGAAAATTCAGAACAGGAAATGTGTATAGAAGCAAATTGAGTGCAATGTTTAAACCACGACCCCACTGAGTTGCAGAAACAGTATCAGAGAAATAAGAGTAGACCACCGTAGACGGTGTTCGTGTTACCACGTATAGAAAACTTGTGATGATGAGAGTGATTGTAATTGGTCGATGACGGATTTTCGAATTCCTTATGGTTGTTGTTCGTCGTAGTCTGTAAAGATGACGGATCGAAATAACATTGAATAATAAAATCAATGTTGATGGAATCAAATCATACATCCATAAATGTATGTGTTGGAATATGAAAAGCATATTGACCAGTTGAGAGTCTATAACGATGTGTCCATCAGTGTTTCTGTAACAAATGAATAATAAAATCGGGAAGTTTGAAAGGAAAAAGATTCCGATGATACAACCAATGATGATCAGGACGCTTTTTGATCGATTGAACCATGTATTTGGTTGTATTCGACTCATAAACAAATATCGATCAAAACAAACAAAAACATGCAGCCATGCCGAGATCTGCAGTGTCCAATAGTTGAAAAACATAGAGAATTTACACGATGCAACTGTATACAAATTTTTCAGTGTAAATCCATAGATGGTATTGAAATAAGTATCGAGAGTCCATCCGTACAGACCAAGAAAATCGATGATTGCTATTGCACGCATATAGTGGATCATTGGACGAGCCTGAGTATTCCGAAACACTGATCGACACAGGACAGCGAATGTGCAGAGATTGAATATTGTACCGAGTATGACTATTAATAGGCAATAATAGCCCATAAAAGTGAAGATATTCGAATTTGAGTTAGTTGTATTTGGCATGACAGTGGTGTTACTGATATTCATGTTCTTGCTCGAAGAAAAGGTTAGAATAAACGACTCTGTCAGCTCTATTTATTGCATTCGGTAATTTTTTTTTAATGAATTTTTAAAATAGTTTATGCTCGACGTAGTAACTATCGTTATATTTCACAAATAGAATGCCGCTTTTTAATAAAAGTCAGAACTTTTAAGATCAAACAAAAAGAATGAGATTAGAGGTAGATGAACTAATCGTATTGGACAAATTTAATTGATACTGATCAAAGCTAATCCTTTGACACACATTTTTGCTTTTAGTCGCTTATAGCACTTAAATTTATGATGCCAAAGTGCCATTATGTAGATGCAAATGTGCTTTAACATATTAGTGCTATTTCTGTGCCAACTTTGTATTAAAAGATCGAATATATTGAAAATCGCAATCGAATCAGCAACTTATAGTGACGGCTACAGCATTCCACCAAAAGTATGTCTTAGTCTTCTTCTATTGATAGATGTTGACATTTCAAACAATTCCCGAAGCTGCGGCTTAACTGTATCGCTCCAGTGAAGCACCCTACATAATTCCTAATAAAAGTAAAAAATCGAAAACAAGAAAAAAATCCACGCATTGGATCTTTTATTCAGCATATGTAGTCACTTTAATAAAAAATACTTTCATTGTGATGCCAGAACAAAAAAATACTGAGAAAAAGTAACACTCACATCTGTGTTAATATAATCACTTTGTCTTTTATATGGTTGTATCAGTTTAACTTATCCCTCATTTTCACAAACCGAACAGTGTCTTTGCTCCGAATGGATGTGTTATATTATATTATTTCTTCAATATCACCAGTGTTGCAATTCCATTTGCTTTTGTAGCGTTTTCTTTTCATCGATATTGTTCCGTTACATGTCATATTTGAGCTCTAATTAAAACCAAAAAGTGGATTGTAATGTGTGTAACGACACTATGAATTGGCGTTTTTGCTTATTTCATTGCCATTTGTATTTCCGTTAATCACGGCTGCAGTGGTGGCATCGATCCTGGATATTATGCTGAATGTTTTGATTTTTCATCATATTCGACTATTTTCACATCGTGCTCATGCTCATGCCAATCAAATTTAGTGATTTGTGTGTATTGGATATTAGTATCAATTTGTTTATTCACAATCACGGAATGAAATGTTACTTATTTGGCAGAATTCGTCGCACTTTTCAATATTAATTCGTGTTTCTATCTGAGAAGTATCAGTTCGAATGAAGGTGAACAGTGTCTGGAACTATTGAAAAGTATAGATTTGTGTGTGAAACAGTGTGTGCTTCGAAAAAAGTATTTCAAACAGAAGATTCAGTGATCGCCATTTTTATTACGGCTTTTTATGAAAGAATGGCGGTGCATAAAAGCATCAAGATTGACATTCACATGGTTTTAATAAACAGCTATTTTTGTTTTCCAGTAATTACATTTTTTCATTCAAATGAACTTAAGTGTATCACGATGGACATGAAGTTTTCGTATCTTCTATTACGAAATATTCTTTCGTAATCACAGTTTTTTTGCCGAACAATCATGCCTTTTCGATATACTTAAATAAGTTGAAATCTTATAATACGTTGATTTGCGTTATCAACGACATACAGAAATGTCTCTTCAGCATTCAGACCCATACTAAACGGATAATTCAACATACTTGCACCACTAGTAGACTCTCCATTCACAGCTCCAGCAATGTTAACACCCGATTGGTCACCAACATTCCATCGTACAATTTGGTTGTTTCCAGCATCTGCAATGTACATTGCCCTCTTGTTTTTCATTAAACAGATATCAAAAGAGAAACTGAGTTACTTATTGCCTGTTCCCTCCCAGTTTCCATCAGCGACTATTGTGCCATTATTTGGCGATCCACCAGACAACGAAAACCGTTTGATACGACTATTCAATACATCAGCCACATACATCCCTTACGGTCGACTCAGAGAAACAGAATTGCTACCCGTTGCGCCTGTACCGGCAATCCTAACCCCCGACGTGATATTGGGAGCATAACGCATCACTCGATAGTTTTGACTGTCGGCAACATACAGACTACCAATACTATCAACTGCGATCCCATATGGACAATGCAACTTATTTGTCGCGGTACATGAAGATCCTTCGACACCAGTAACCACCTTCGGTACTGGAGATACAACTTGCATGCTGACGATCTTGTAAACACAATGATTATAGTAATCAGTAACATACAATCACTTGTCCATCAGCACTGCCAACCACGATGATGGAATTATCCACTGTTTTGTTGACAAGAATACTCGTCGGACCAGACAAACCAATAGTTGTACTTTTGGCAATGACTGTGTTGGCATCAACGAGGGTCGTTCCTTCCGATACTGTCACATCTAAAATCACACAGATTGATCTATCGAAAATCGACATCTGGATATACATACGTCCACATTGATTGAATCGCAGACAAGTGTAGTTGNATGCATATGCCAACAACTGGCATTTCCAAGTTTCTTGATCGACTCCTTCGACCGTTATTTGATAAACATGTTCGCTCAACTACAATTATCGATGGTGTTGATCTCATTCGACGACTTCAAGCATACACTGCAAATGGATATTTGAAGCCAACAACCTATTTGTGCACATTTGACATCACAGATTTATATACAATGTTACCACAGGAAGAATCTCTCGATATTCTAACTGAATTTCTTCTAGAACATGGATATACCAAAGTGAATGCAGTGCCCATTGACGCCATTCGGAAATTAGCTCGTCTCGTTCATACAGAAAATGTATTCTCTTATGAGAAAAGATTCTATCGGCAGGTGGTCGGCGGTGCTATGGGCTCCGCATTTACTTTGACTTTAGCCAATGTTTTCATGTGGAAATGGGAAAAACGATTAGTTCAACAGCAGGTAAATACAAACGAAAACTATGGAAGGCATGTTCAGTATCTTAGGAAAAGCGCTATTGTCTCAATATCCCCTATTTATCTTTTAAAGGTATATCGATGATATCTTCTTTACTTCGAATCAACCACTGAACAAAATCAATGAAATGTTAGATAACGGCAACGATTTCCATCCAAATATCAAATTAGTTCGGCAAATTGGTAAGAATGTATCCTTCTTAGATGTGTTTATTGCAAATGATCATGGTACATTGAAAACATGTGTGTATCACAAAGAAGCAGCCGAGCCATACACAGTACCATTTAATTCTGATCATCCTCATCATACCTTCAGAAATGTCATTGGCACAGCACTTTTGCGTGCTGTACGCTATTCATCTACACTATCAACTTTTCAAAAAGAACAACGTACAATCAAACTAATGCTTCTTTACATGAAGTAATTCGATCTATTTCTATATGTTCACAGTCCGGTTTATCCGATATCTTCTAGCTATACACCACGGTTTATCTACAGCAGATTCCACAGTTTCATCACCATCCATGCCAAAACCTCAAACATCCAACCATTCATACATGATGAAAATGAATTCAGAGCGATCCGACAGAAAATGCTCAACATTCCAACTATTCCAGAATATCGAATGACGTCCAGAATCGAAAGCGATAATGTTACTTCTGATCCTGAATCAATGGAAACTAGTGTACTCAAAACGAAATCCACAAAATCTTCGAAGTAGGACAATCAAATCATAATTCATTACACTCATGAGCAACGCTTCCGGACATACAAACGAGATCTACACCGACTTTGGAATGAAACATATCGATCAACACCAATCATTCATATAAGACTAATCGTTGGTAACAGAAACAATAGAACGTTGGCACGAGAATTAGTACATCATCGACACATTAAACATCAACTGAAACAACCGTGACAATCATTCGAGACATTGATTTCACGCCAAACCTACATTTCCAGCATCGTAGACTTTTCTGTACATATTATTTCTAATAAACTACTCATTTCAGTATGAACTTTTTCACATATCTCAAACATTCACACGCAACCCATATCTTGAACAAAACGTATATTCAGAACTTCGCCTATATAACAAAGCACACAAGCTTGCATAGCATTTCCAACTATACTACATAAAAGCCACAACATATAGAAAGACTCAGGATGCCAAATGAAAACTAAAACCTACCTAAAGATGAATAGAATAAACCTCATTCGAAACGCGTCTTGGTTTGCTTCGACTCACCACTACGATAGCGATAGCTGCTATAAGAACGTTTTCCATGTTCTCGAATTTTGCAGTTAAAGTAATCTACTTATGATCTTAGGATTATCCGAGTGATTACATAGTCTAAAACCAACTGATGAGACTGCCTAAACCACAGTCGAAACGCGTCTTGGTTTGCTTCGACTCACCCTCACCCTCACACCCACCCTACATATCAGCACTATTTCGAATAAATCAAAAACTGTATAATCTGTAGTTTTAATTGACGAACGGTGTGCTAGTGATTGATAGACTTTATACTGTATAATTTCTAACATTTTAACATATTATGTACAGTAATCTAAGAATCGCTTAGGTAACATTAATCCGAATTGCATCCGTAGGTGCAGCTTTTGATGGGCTTTAATTTGGTATAAATAGCTTATAATATTATCTATCCCTTGAGTCTTACGCGGGGGGAAGCAAAGGTTATGTGACACCCTGTAGTAGTTAGACTTTCACTCTTCGATCAACAGATCCATTAAAAAACATCGACGAACGAATATTGTCATATCTCAAATAATAACAAACGGAAGATATTAAGACAAAATATTTTTATCGATATTTATTCATTTGGTATTTTGATAAAAGTCAATATTGATTACATGAGAGAAAAAACATTTGTTTTCTGTTTTAGTCGAAAATTGATCTAAGATTCCACCAAACTAACGAGATTGCACGTTTATAAAAGCACGAAAATTGTGGTGTGTTTCTAGATTATTTTAACATACATATTTGAATTATTTTTTTTTTCTCTTTCATATGAAATTTATATATTTCAGTTGTAAGTTATTTGATTTTTGTGATACAGTTAATAATATGTTGAGTATACTTTAGTTTTTCTAATTTTTGATTTAGCATTGTCATTCACGCATAATGCTTTGCTAAAGATATCTATGCTCGATGACACAATCAATACTTCAATGGCAATAAGAAATGCCACTACATCAAGTAATCCAAATCTGGACACACAAACTCTTATACAATCTTTAATTGAAGAAAACTGGGAAGAACTGTTTGTTGCCGGACCAATTATGGTGAATTGTATTAGTAATCTAATGATATCAGCCAGTAAAAAAGATTTTCCTTTAAAATCGTCGAGTCTCAATCATGTCTATCAATATATTATATATCCAAATTCATTTCGTGCTACCCTAGCACAGATTCACAGCGAAATGTACTCTGTATTTCTCAGGGGACATACTAATATGGATAGTATTCAATTGAGTATGAAACAAATACCACAATATTTCAAAACAATTCTTAAAGTACTCAAATCGGCTTCACCTAATCTTATTCAAAGAATGGTTACAACACCACTAGATAATATCGAAAAAATGGCTAAAGATTCCGTTGCTTTAACCAACATTATGATAAAAAAGTATGAAAATTTAACTCTACTTTTACAAGAAACTATTGAAGTAGCGACACGTTCATGCGGAGTTAACAGTACTTTTTTGACAAATATTAATATATTAGTAAATATTACCACACAAGTCAATAAGTTACAACAACAATGGAGTCAAATAACTAGATATTCAAATCAAATAATAATACGTGTTGAAACTATTCGTGAAACTGCATTTTATGAACTTATTGATACTATTAAAAATGTTACATCAATGAATAGTGAGTTGACCGCAGCTGATCGAGAAGTTTTTTTTTTAAAAATGCGTGATACAATGATTGAAATAGAACAAGATGCTTATTTGTTATATATTACGACAAAAACATACTATGATGTTAGTGCTACATACGTAGCATTGCAACTTCAGAATGCTTCCCGACTTTTAGTACTTCAAACTGATACTGAACGACAAACAACTATGACACAATTAGACCAAAATATGTTATTCGCGTTAGCAGAAATTTCACAAATGGTCTCGGAACGAAAACAGCAATGTCAACAACGCAATCAAGAAATACAAGAAGAATATAAACAATTTATACAACAAATGATGTTCGATGAATTAACAGCTGGTATTGGAAAATAAAAAAGACACTTATCTATTCTTTTTTTTCATTGATCATGCTTATTATATTCCTGCTAGATCCTTTATGTCTCAATCCGTTATTTTCACTAACTTCTTCTCTTTGCTCATTTTTTTGAAATTTGTCATTTAAACGTTGGTACGCTTAAAAATCCTTAATTTCATTTGATAAAAAACGTATGAATTTGATAAACGAATTTCATACCTTAACGGCATCACATTGTTAGAATAAATTTGCATATGACAGTCGACAGTTTCGTTCTTCTAATGGAAATACTTACTATATATGTTAAAAATAACAAAGAACATCAGATAATAATTATTATTTTCTTATTAATTCTTCTTATGTCATCGATTATTGTTATTATCTTCAATTTATATCATCTATTAAAAGAGTAGAACACTTGAAAATGCTCTCAATAATCATGTTAGTATTTATTCCCTTTTCTGAAAGAAAGGGTTATAGCGCCATAAATCGGGTGATTTAAATGCAAAAAGTTTGCTTGCTTGTTTGTTTGCGTAATCCAATCAAATTGCAGCATTTTATAAATCAATGAAATTGATCGATTGTTGTTAGAAAGTGATTACCGGTAGGGTAATCGAGGTCGGGGAACTTGAATCTGAGGTTGGATTTAACTAATTATTAACTATTAATCAACTATCAACTAGCTGTCAACTAGACATAAATTATTAATATGCAGGGTAAGGGTTGACCGAAGGGTAATCGGGGTCAAGGATCTCGAATCTGAGATTAGATTCTCCAAATCCCAATTAGCTCATTAGCTAATTAAGTGATAAAAATTTTCTTCGTTGTCGAGTAAGGGTTGACCAAAGGGTAGTCGGGGTCGGGGGATCTTGAATCCGACGTTAGTGTTGATTAATTCATTATTAATTTTTCGTTAACTAGCCACGACCTATTAACATCCATTGTCAGAGTAGACCGAAGGATTTCTGACGTCGGGAAATTTGAACTTGCGGGTGAACTTCGTTTTATTCGCTGAGCCTGGGCTTGTTCTACCTCTTTACAAAGGAGATGTTTTTTCTTTATCTGTTCTGAAATCTTTTCTAGAAGATGATGAGCTGAACGCTATTCATGGACGTCATGTGTACAAAGATAGTAGCTCAAGAACCTACATGAAAANGATTCCGACGATACAACCAATGATGATCAGGACGCTTTTTGATCGATTGAACCATGTATTTGGTTGTATTCGACTCATAAACAAATATCGATCAAAACAAACAAAAACATGCAGCCATGCCGAGATCTGCAGTGTCCAATAGTTGAAAAACATAGAGAATTTACACGATGCAACTGTATACGAATTTTTCAGTGTAAATCCATAGATCATATTGAAATAAGTATCGAGAGTCCATCCGTACAGACCAAGAAAATCGATGATTGCTATTGCACGCATATAGTGGATCATTGGACGAGCCTGGGTATTCCGAAACACTGATCGAAACAGGACAGCGAATGGGCAGAGATTGAATATTGTACCGAGTATGACTATTAATAGGCAATAATAGCCCATAAAAGTGAAGATATTCGAATTTGAGTTAGTTGTATTTGGTATGGCAGTGGTGTTACTGATATTCATGTTCTTGCTCGAAGAAAAGGTTAGAATAAACGACTGTGTCAGCTCTATTTATTGCATTCAGTAATTTTTTAATGAATTTTTAAAATAGTTTATGTTCGACATAGTAACTATCGTTATATTTCGCAAATAGAATGCCGCTATTTAATAAAAGTCAGAACTTTTAAGATCAAACAAAAAGAATGAGATTAGAGGTAGATGAACTAATCGTATTGGAAGAATTTAATTTATTACAAGTTTATGACGTCAAAATACCATTATATAGACGCAAATATGCTTTAACATATTAGTACTATTTCTATACCAACTTCGTATTAAAAGATCGAATATATTAAAAATCGCAATCGAATCAACAATTTATAGTGACGGCTAAGGATTATCAGCATTCCACCAAAAGTATTTCTTGGTCTTCTTCTATTGATAGATGTTGACATTTCAAACAATTCCCGAAGCTGCGGCTTAACTGTATCGCTCCAGTGAAGCACCGTACATAATTTCTAATAAAAGTAAAAAATCGAAAACAAGAAAAAAATCCACGCATTGGATCTTTTATTCAACATATGTAGTCACTTTAATAAAAACTACTTTCATTGCGATGCCAGAACAAAAAAATACCGAGAAAAAGTAACACTCATATCTGTGTTAATATAATTACTTTCTCTCTTATATGGTTGTATCAGTTTAACTTATTCCTCATTTTCACAATCCGAACAGTGTCGTTACTCCGAATGGATGTGTTATGTTATATTATTTCTTCAATATCACCAGTGTTGCAATTCCATTTGCTTTTGTAGCATTTTCTTTTCATCGCTATTGTTCCGTTACATGCCACATTTGAGCTCTAATTAAAACCAAAAAGTGGATTGTAATGTGTGTAACGACACTATGAATTGGCGTTTTTCTTTATTTCATTGCCATTTGTATTTCCGTTAATCACGGCTGCAGTGGTGGCATCAATCCTGGATATTATGCTGAATGTTTTGATTTTTCATCATATTCAACTATTTTCACATCGTGCTCAAGCTCATGCCAATCAAATTTAGTGATTTGTGTGTATTGGATATTAGTATCAATTTGTTTATTCACAATCACGGAATGAAATGTTACTTATTTGGCTGAATTCGTCGCACTTTTCAATATTAATTCGTGTTTCTGTCTGAGAAGTATCAGTTCGAATGAAGGTGAACAGTGTCTGAAACTATTGAAAAGTATAGATCTGTGTGTGAAACAGTGTGTGCTTCGAAAAAAGTATTTCAAACAGAAGATTCAGTAATCGTCCTTTTTATTACGGCTTTTTATGAAAGAATGGCGGTGCATAAAAGCATCAAGATTGACATTCACATGGTTTCAATAAACAGCTATTTTTGTTTTCCAGTAATTACATTTATTCATTCAAATGAACTTAAGTGTATCATGATGGACATGAAGTTTTCGTATCTTCTATTACGAAATATTCTTTCGTAACCACAGTTTTTACCCGAACAATCATGCCTTTGAAACGAGTACATTTTCTTGATATTATTCTCTTCTCTTGCTTCAATCTCATTCAATCCATCCACCAGTCTTTGATCAAATTAAACAATACCGGTTTTTAGTTTCATCCCATCCGTTATCAAGCACAAATCTTCTCAAAATATGTTTCATGCTTTGCAATGATGACATTTTATGTCGAATCTTTGACATCAATGCAGTTCTACCAAACCAGAGTCGACTCTTTCAAAGTGCCTTCAATCTGCATGACACCTCTGTCGCATCATCGCTGACCAACTCACGAGTTGGTTCCATTTAGTACTCGACCAGTTTCTACTCCAACTACGGTCAATCATGTGCCTCAAACGCCATCGAAAACCGATATCTTGTTTGTGGAAGTGGCTTGACATGGATTTGACCACCAAATACATACTGGAATCCTTCGATCTCCATGTGCTCAGCTCAACTTGTCAACAGACCATGAGTATGTGTCGAAAAGATCTCAACTACACTTGTCTACGATTCAATCAATGTGGACGTATATATATTCAGATGTCGACTTTCGATGTGACAGTATTGGAAGGAACGACCCTCGTTGATGCCAACACAGTCATTGCCAAAAGTACAACTATTGGTTTGTCTGGTCCGACGAGTATTCTTGTCAACAAAACAGTGGATAGTTCCATCCTCGTGGTTGGCAGCTCTGGTGGACAAGTGATTGTATGTTACTGATTACTATAATCACTGTGTTTACAAGATCGTCAGCATGCAAGTTGTATCTCCAGTACCGAAGGTAATTGCTGATGTCGAAGGATCTTCAGGTACCGCGACAAATAAGTTGCATTGTCCATATAGGATCGCAGTTGATAGTATTGGTAATATGTATGTTGCCGACAGTCAAAACTATCGAGTGATGCGTTATGCTCCCAATATCACGTCGGGGGTTAGGACTGCCGGTACAAGCGCAATGGTTAGCAATTCTGTTTCTCTGAGTCGACCGTAAAGGATGTATATGGCTGATGCATTGAATAGTCTTATCCAACGATTTTCGTTGTCTGGTGAATCGCCAAATAATGGCACAACAGTCGCTGATGGAAACGGGGAGGGAACAGGCAATAAGTAGCTCAGTTTCTCTTTTGATATCTGTTTAACGAAAAACAAGAGGGCAATGTACATTGCAGATGCTGGAAACAACCGAATCGTATGATGGAATGTTGGTGACCAATCGGGTGTTAACATTGCTGGAGTTGTGAATGGAGATTCTACTAGTGGTGCTAGTATGTTGAATTATCCGTTTAGTATGGGTCTGAACGCTAAAGAGACATCTCTGTATGTCGTTGAGAACGCAAATCAACGTATTATAAGATTTCAAATTATTTAAGTATATCGACAAGGTATGATCACGTTTTCTTGATTATAAATAATAGAGTTTTCCGTCTTTGTATCATTCCAAAGTTCACAAAAATCTAAGTTTTGATTTTATTCTGAAGTGTCTTTATGCCGAATAAATATGTGGAATTTAAGTTAATTTGAATTGTGGCTCAAAGAAATTATCCTATTTCTCTGGTATTTCAATCAGATCATTGATCCAGACACATACCAGCGAGACTTCACTTCGCGTTTTTGCACTAAATTGATAATAATCAGTTTGACGAAATTCATCAAGAGTTTGAGTTAGAACAAACAGATGATCTAATTTATCTCGTCCTGATTCATTTACACCAGTCTTGCTGAAAACTGCATCAAATAAATCCGGGTGAAGTTGTGCGCAAACCCTGCGTAGTTCTTCGACACATTTGCCAATATCTTTATCGACTATAATCAAAGCAATCAACCGATTCATATGGGATGGAATGGTGAATTGACGATGATCATTAATTGTAACATCAGGATGAAATGAAAGACCGAAAAAGACTCCTTATAAAACACTCTGAACACGTTGGACTGTAAGCGGAGTTTGAAAGTCAATGGAAAGTTCATTGATACGATAGAATGTTTTTAGATTGCCTGAAAACAACAATTGTCAAAATCACTACTCGATAAAGAATTGAGACTAACCAACAACATCCAGAGTAATCGGCCATTTCGTCAAATCGTTCAACTTTTCCATCTCACTTGGTATGACTTGTTTCATCGGTGGAACGAATTTCTCATCAATTTTGTTTGCCAACGAAAGATTTTTAGTCGACATTTCTCTCATGACAATCGAATGAAATTCACTGCGAGAACTGTAATATTTACACACACACTCGAAAGTATTACATGTGTTAGAACGATTCAGTTTCATTTGTTCTTTTTTCTGCGTGGTAACCGTGAAAACATTAACATTGTAGTCGCTCAATAAAGAGAAACACACATAAATACATCTGCAACCGAATGAATATTTATTGAGTTAGTCGAAGTTTAGTAGGACAAAAATGTGATTGAAATCTCTTCGCAGCGTTGATGATGCATCTTCTTGAACATTTCTGTCGTCGGGTGACTAAACACCGATCTATAATATTAAAAGTAATTAATCTCCAATCAGGATCGTTTTCAAAATCGCATTGTTTCGATTATTATATTCTTAATTGGTGCTGGAAGCAGTTCAACCGTCATTTGTTCATTTACGAGCTTTGATACGCGATAATAGTAGATGGTGAATGTTTCTAAACTGAGAAAACTTTCTTTATTCTACCGGTGCACTCATTGCATCACATTGTGTTGTGCGGAAAGAGCACGCTTCAAAGGATTTCCTCAGTTAATAATATAAAGCATAATGGGTGCTACGCATGATGCCATCCAACTGAAAAGAAGCATGCGTCTAGATGGCATAATGCGCAGAAAGTCAAATACAATATGTACACAAGATTCCTAGTGAAGTGTATACATTGTGAGAGAGATCGATAGTCCTTCGCCATCGGCATGGATCGAATGAATAACATATGCTTCTATTTTATCTGTGAAATCTCGAGTTGTTGTTCGTAAAAAGGTCTATTGGATGAAACAAAAGAGGCAACTTCGTTTTTTCTCATAATTACACTATAGTACATGATTTTCTAATCGGTTTGGTGTTTACTCATCGATCGCACCACTATATCTCTAGTTCCATTGATCACATGTAGTTGAGTGCTGTTCCGCTTGATGCTACTTTCATTCACGACTAAATCATGAGTGATGCTGATGCAAATAATGTTATTTTATCCGTTTTATATAAGGAATGCAAGTCCAATCAATCGAGGATCGTCATTCTACAAAACACGAGACTATGCTTTATATTATCACAGTTCACACTACTTGATGAGGGAAATACGGAAAATATCAAAAAGTAAAATGTCGAAAGGAAAATATCGACGATTTTAATTGTAACAACGGTAACGCCACGAGGGATATACAAAGAAGGAAAACACCGAAAGGAAAAGAACGAGTGCATATAGTCGAAACAACAAATGTCTACAATAAACATGTGCTTATCCACTCGATGTGTCGTTGTTTATACGTTTATTGTTCGATTCGTCTATAGATATAAGTGTATGATTTCAGTATAGCCCTGGATCAGTATATTTTTACATGGTTAGATAGAGATCGTCAAGCTCTACAAAACTGCATATATTAGAAAAGCTGTTAATCATCCTTTTGCGATGGAAAAAATCTAAAACTGCTGAGAAAACCTCAAAAAATATTTAAAAACTTGATTGTTCAACAAATCTAGCCTTTTAACATTGTTTTTATAATCCAAGCGGTTTCCGCATATACTCATTAGGCATAGATTTTCACACTGCATGGACGAGATACCTTTTGAAACTGTTTGAATTGTAAAAACAATGTTAAAAGGCTAGATTTGTTGAACAACCAAGTTTTTTAACATTTTTTGAGGTTTTGCTCAGCAGTTTTAGATTTTTTCCATAGCAAAAAGATGATTAACAGCTTTTCTAACCATGTAAAAATATTCTGGAAAATAACTTCATCTCGTTTCAGAATTATTGATACTATAGCTTTCAACGCTACAAAGGTAGAAAATTTTTGAAAACGGCTCAAGTTCTCAACTGAAAAGTTCATATAATCTTTACTCTTTGATACCAGTAAACCCCATTTTTCACGGACTTTCATCTGGTATAAAATTCATTAGGTTTCATACTTGAAACTACAGCGGTACCCCCTATCAAAACATTTTTTCAATGTAGTAGTTAGACTTTCACTCTTCGATTAACAGATCCATTAAAAAACATCGACGAACGAATATTGTCATATCTCAAATAATAACAAATGCAAAATATTACGAAAATCTATTTTTGTCGATATTTATTCATTTGGTATTTTGATAAAAATCAATGCTGATTACATGAGAGAAAAAACATTTGTTTTCTGTTGTCGTCGAAAATTGATCTAAGATTCGACGAAACTAATGAGATTCCACGTTTATAAAAGCACGAAAATTGTGGTGTGCTTCTAGATTATTTTAACATACATATTTGAATTATTTTCTTTCTCTTTCAGATGAAATTTATATATTTCAGTTGTAAGTAATTTGATTTTTGTGATACAGTTAATAATATGTTGAGTATACTTTAGTTTTTATAATTTTTGATTTGGCATTGTCATTCATACATAATGCTGTGTTAAAGATATCTATACTCGATGACACAATCAACATTTCAATGGCAATGAGAAATGACAGTACATCAAGTAATCCAAATCTGGACAGACAAACTCTTGCACAATCTTTAATTGAAGAAAACTGGGAAGAAATGTTTGTCGCCGAACCAACTATAGTGAATTGTATTAGTAATCTAATGATATCAGCCGCTAAAAAAGATTTTCGTTTAAAATCGTCGAGTCTCAATTATGTCTATCAATATATTAGATATCCAGATTCATTTCGTCATACCATAACACAGATTTACAGTGAAATGTACTCTGTATTTCTCGGCGCACATACTAATATGGATCGTATTCAATTGAGTATGAAACAAATACCACAGTATTTCAAAACAATGCTTAAACTACTCAAATCAGCTTCACCTAGTCTTATTCTTAGAATGGTTCCAATATCACTAGATAATATTGAAAAAGTGGCTAATGATTCTGCTGCTTTAACCAATATTATGATAAAAAAGTATGAAAATTTAACTCTACTTTTACAAGAAACTATTGAAGTAATGAGAAGTTCATACGGAGTTAACAGTACTTCTTTGACAAATATTAATATATTAGTAAATATGACTATAGAAGTCAGTAAGTTACAACAACTATGGAGTCAAATAGCTAGATATTCAAATCGAATAATAATACGTGTTGAAACTATTCGTGAAACTGCATTTTATGAACTTATTGATACTATTAAAAATGTTACATCAATAAATAGTGAGTTGGATGCAGCTGATCGAGAATTTTTTGTTTTAAAAATGCGTGATACAATGATTGAAATAGAACAAGATGCTTATTTGTTATATATTACGACACAAACATACAATGATGTTAGTGCTACATACGTAACATCGCAACTTCAAAATGCTTCCCGATTTTTACTACTTCAAACTGACACTGAACAACAGACAGCTATGGCACAATTAAACCAAAATATGTTATTTGTGTTAGCAGAAATTTCACAAATGGTTTCGGAACGAAAACAGCAATGTCAACAACGCAATCAAGAAATACAAGAAGAATATAAACAATTTATACAACAAATGATGTTCGAAGAATTAACAGCTGGTATTGGAAAATAAAAAAGACACTTATCTACCCTTTTTTTTCATTGATCATGCTTATTATATTCCTGCTAGATCCTTTATGTCTCAATCCGTTATTTTCACTAATTTCTTCTCTTTGTTCATTTTTCTAAAATTTATCATCTAAACGTTGGTACACTTGAAAATCCTTATTTTTATTTGATAAAAAACGTATGAATTTGATAAACTAATTTCATATCTTAACGTCATCACATTGTTACAATAAATCTGCATATGACAGTCGACAGTTTCGTTCTTCTAATGAAAATACTTACTTTAAATGTCAAAAAGAACATGTCAGATAATAATTATTATTTTTTCCTCGACTGAAAGGAGGGTCATGTCGAAAAGAGTGGTCAAAAAACGGAAATTCGTTTGTGTGTGTCTGTCGCAGGTCAGAGGTCAAAGATCAAAGGTAAAAAAAAAATTTCTCCAAAAACGCTCAAAACTTCATAAAAAATGGTTTGGGACGGCGGTTGAGGATGCATGTTGACAGGGGGTAGTCGGGGTTCAACGTCAAAAAAACATTTTGTTCGAAATCGACCAAGACGTCAGAAAACATGGTTTGGGAGGGCTGTTGATGGTGGATGTTCGTTCGAGACAGCATCGAGATTAACTGTGATAGCGAAGGCGGCCGAAGGCCGTCTGAGCGCTCGCAGAGAACACTCCACGCGTGGTATACATTTATGGGTGTTGCAGTGGTTACAGGGAATCGATGTAATCAATCAGCAGCGATACAGGCTTTGAAAAGATCCAGATCAACATCGATGCTAGATCAGAGTGAAAGGGATGGTGAATGAGAAGATATAATATATAGGCTGACGTGTGAAACTGGCAATGAAGTCTATAAATGAACGACTGGAATGGAGAATAAATATCAGGGTAAAACAAAATTGATCAAACTCCTATTGCAGGAATCAGATTCAGTAACGTTTGCTTTTTCTACCCAGTACAATTTTTCCGTATGTCATACGTTCGCCATAGATATTTCGTATTTGTCATCGGATAACCATGCTAATGGCATATAATGAAAACGCCTAAATACCTGCACCAGAACTGCTGCTCCAAACAAAATTTCAACTATAACTCAGAGAGCTCTTTAAGACCATTCCGTATCACACCCGCAGGTCGTCGCAGTGCCAATCGCTCAACAGTCGAAATGAGTAATATCTGTATATTCAAGAAAAACTCTGTCCTATACAACCACTGCCCAATATGCCGGCCACCATCTTTCACAAATGCATAAGAAATAGCACAGGTCTTGAATCGCATGGAACCAAACGGTCACTCATCGCTCCTACCACACCACCTTAGACAAAGACTAATCCATCCAAAAAATACCCTCAAGATAATTGGGAAAAACCAAAACTTCTTCGAACCACAAAGTAAATGCAATTCGACAATGCACAAGCAGATTTCTACATATACACCATCAAAACTAAATATTCATTCCTATCCACAGAGTAAAAACAGTGATCCTCCCAGTTCCCTCACTACCCGATTCCATCGGCACAGCAAATTCTTATTCAACGTTGAAATGAAGCTTCTTTCACTTCACAAACCATGTAATAGCCAAAATCATGAGGCTCGATATCAAAACTATATTCCCCTTATATATAAAAACCTTCCACTTCAATCCTTCCAATAATTAACACAATTCACCTTTACGATCACCTTCTAGTCTCCCCTGCACATATACCGATGTGGACCAAATTTAACAACATACCCGTGAGCCTTTCTCTATCTGACAACATAATTTCTGAGCATCACATCTCCTTTGTCACTGCGAAATACGATCTCTATTTCAAAAAAATTGCAAAACGATATCTACAATCGATCGTAAAATCGACTTCCCAGTTAAGATTCTCACCATCAATCCATACATATCCAACTGCGCATATATACGAACGTGAAGGAGAGCATTTCTCCCTGTCGCAATGTCTATTTCAACCATCGGAATACAGATTCTGACTCGGAAGGAGAAGCTCTATTTGAAGGAAAAACACCCGAAACTCTACCGTATGTTCCTCATCCTTTCATAGTTCTCAGTACATACAGTATCACGCTACAAAAAAATATCCAGCTTTATAAATAATATCTAAGATCTATCGCTATCATACAATGAGTTAATGAGCTAGATGATCATGCGATCATAGTCTTTTCAAAACACAGAGAGCAGAAACAGTCGTACATAAGAGTGCGTTTCTGATATGAATATTATATGAATGGTACATAATAAGAAGAAGAGATAAATCTATCAATATCTCTATCTTGGGTATATGGATTAAGAGGCTAATGTCGAAGTTCATATAGGAAGGAAGAAAGCAGATAATTGCTGTATTTGAAGAGGAAGAGAAAGAGAGAAGAGGAAAAGTATACAATCATAGATTGTCATATTACCAAATATCTATAGTTTGGAACTTAAATTCAACAGTCTATCCTGCCGTTTAATTATTCGAGTATTCGTATACTTGCGAGTGAGTAAAAGGGTTCTGAAGGGGCATCATTTCGGTGAGAATAAACAGAAGAATTTTGAAAGCAGTCGAATATTCAAATGATTGAAAAAAAGACTGCAAAAGTAGTTGAATAATTGAGTCGAAATTTCGAGTTTCGCATTACTAAAAGACGCAAGCATCATAGTAGCTATTCATAGCGGACTGCTATTTCATGTGTGAAAAATGGTCATGAATAATGGACATTACATAAATAACAAGAACGATGACAGTTCTTCGGTTAGTTTTGAAAAAGGTTGAAATTGACGAGGACCGTTCTCGAGACACCCTTTAGAATCGCAAGTTTTATCTGAAGTATAACCCAATCAGTCGAGGGTAATGCGAGTCTCCCTCGACGAGCGTTATTTTATGAATATATCGCGTTACAAGTAAAGAATAATTATTCTTGTCAAATTAGAAATCTTTTTCGTTTAGACGTAGAGGACATAATGGTATGTTCATTGTTGAGTTTATCGGGATATACTTCAGAAAAATATTAAAAGAGAATAAAGAAGCTTATACTATATATATATAGAAAGTTTAAAAGAAAGAGGTGAAGGAAGAACAGATACAATGATAAAATCTTCAACAGTGTACTTGTTGATGCACAATTAATACATCTATTTTTATAGTTTATATTTATTGATGATGAAAAATTCTCATAAGAAAAGAACTTTTTGTTTAGAAAAATGCATTAACATCAATAAAACTGTTTAAAAATCTCATGTTTTCTTTAATTTAATTAGTATGCATTTTTATTCTATAAATTTCTTGTCTAACTACGGTGATCACTGACGAAACTTTCTTCCACTGAACAGAATGGATTCGTCTCTGTTCTTTCTAGACAACATAATACTGGAACAGTTATGACAGCACAAAGGCAAATGTTAATGAAGAAATCATTTTTACTAAAGATTCAATACTCGCAAATTCACCGGATTCAGCAGTATATGACAATTATTAAATGATAGTCTTGTTCTATTTTTTGCGATCCTCCAGCTGTAACAATCTTGTTGTAACTGAAATTGATCAACTTATTCGGGAAAACTAGTTTTAGAAAGCTTAACCAAACTGCGTCTAAAACTCAAACGACATCTAGTTTTATAAGAATTGTAATTTTTTGTATTGAAAAACATTTTTTTATTTCAGTTAGATAATGATTTGAAAACAAAGGGTAAATAATACTACTAAAGCTAGTGAAACCTGCATATATGAGAGCTTATAGAAAGTCTTTGATTCCCGTCGCTTCCTAGATAGCTCGTTCTGAGTAGAAATATTGTTAATCTATTGACTAACTATTTGGTATTGGCACCTTGCCAGGCACTAAAGAGAAAAAGTGCATTCACAGCGTATGACACACAGCCCAAAGCGCGTTTACGCATGGATTCTATTATGCAGCTGTAATATGTTCTCTTTTTGAAATAGGAATTGGTTTGTTTTAATCTTACTTGATTAAAACTCATACACACAATTGTATCTATGTTTAAGTATGATTTATAGGTATGAATAAGTAAAACTATGTCTTTCTTCGATACTGATTTTTATGTTAAGATATATTTGTGAAGTCTATATATATATATATATATTCGATCAATAAAAGCATTAATTTTAAAGATGAAAGTGTTTCCTTTCGATACTTACGTTCTCTTTCGTCATTACGATGAACAATTGTTAGATGTTTATGACCGAGTTACTGGCATTGTTGTTAAAGACGACTGTCTTAGGAAATCTTGATAATAGTGGACAGCGTCGACAAAAACATCGTTTTCTCCATAGAAACTTAACTATGACTAAGACACAAATCACTCCAAACGTAAGAAATAGTCCTCCTAACGGCTTGATTCCCATAGCACTTCCTACATTTGTTACATCAGGACAATTTCCCATCTTAAACCATTTCGTTTTCAAATCGTCCAATGAACCATTTTCTCTTAATGATAAAACTTGAATATCTAAATCTTGTTCATATATCCAACCTTGTGGAATAACCATTCCAAATATACTTGGATAGAAATCTTCACCTACAATAGTTAAATTACAATAGATGTTATTAGTTAGATAATCTGCGGCACTACGATCCATTAAACACACATCGACTTTATCTGAAAGCAGACTCTCAATCATATCTTGAACAGATTGCATGGAATAATAATTTCGATTTCCATTAGATATTTCATTCAAAAAATAACTTTCACCTGCTGTACCGGTGCGAACGCCAATACGATTATATGCGACTTTTCCATCTTTGACATCTTCGATCCCAGAAATGATATTCTTCGACTTAGATAATGTTAGATTAGATGCTAAATTTGCTGTATATGATGCTACTAAAACCATACTTAACATATACAAACCAACGGTTAAAATACGTCCAGCTGCTGTACGCCCCTGGTAATCAGCACCATATCCCATTATTGTTCCGATCGAGAACCACATACTCATTATCATTGACGAACTTTTTGATATTTTTTGCAATGCTTCATTCTCTTGTCTTTCGATGAAACAAAATAAGATACTGGCGAAAAACGCCACTCCTAATATTAATAACCAGAGATTTCGAGAAAATGGTTTTAGAAAAGCTAGCAGATCCAAATCTGACTCGGAAGTTTTTCGTATGAGCAAACATAGAGCACTATCAAAGATTGAATTGGAAAAACTAACCAACTGTCTTCTACTACTGGTCACAGTGATATCGGCAACAACTATATCATAAGTACCATTTAATACCGCTTGAATTAATCCAGTATACGTTTGATTTGATGATGCTAACTGAATATCAGCAATAAATCCCATTTGATTTTGCAATAATTCAATTAAATCAGGTACATAACCAGATAATTGTGTAATATTCTGTCCAGATTGATCGATTATAGAATTAACTATTGTGAATGGTGTTGAAGCAATAACACCAATACGTAGATGAATACCTTTTAGAATTGCCATATCTCGAGACAAAACGTTTGATTTCGCTGCCCAAACATTATTACTGCCGTTTGTGTGTGCTTGCCAGTTTCTAACAGCAGCATATTCTGGAATGCGTGACAATGATCTATTATGGTAGGAAGGATGTTTCAGAGTTTTCATATAAGTGTAAGTATCATTGACACCAATAAATTCAGTTGTATGAATTCTCGTCAATAGTGAATCTGATTGAATTAATCGACGATTGAAACAAGTTGAACTTTTTACGAATGAAAAACACGAAGTCGAATTCTTTCTTTCTGTTGTACAGTAATATTGCAGAAATTGAATTAATCGCCAGGTTGCATCAAGAACAAACAAACTATAGGGATTAACTTGTGACACTCCAGGAAATGATTCTGGTTCATATTGCTTCCAGATCTCAAAGGCAGTATCTAATAATGTCATGTTGTTCGATTCGCTGGTAGTATTTTCTGAGATTTTAAATTTTGATAGAATAGTGTAATAGAATCTCTGATAATGTTCTCGATCAAAGAAGTCAGGATTTGTAATTTTATATGATATTAATGGTAAACCAATTCTATTGGCAAATAAAGGAATAATTTGTTCTTCATCAGAAAAGGTTGGACCTACGATACTAACAATATTAGAATTAGACACAGCTTCACATGTAAGATGAAGAGTTTCGATGACATTGTCACTCATTTGTATCGTTTCCCATCCAATGAATTGTCCTCCGATGGTGATGTTATATCGTTGAGCAATTGTAATAGCAGCTTTGAACATAGATCGAGAATGAATGGAAAGATTGCTTATTGGATTTGATGTTTTTTCTTCATTAGAAAAAAGACCTAAAAGTGAAATTGTCGAGTTGATTCGTATTGGCCAAGTCGTTTCAGTACACTTTATGTTCATATAAACTATCATAAATTGAAATAATAACCATTGAAAAGTCCATACTGATCGTGATATCATTTTTCTTGCAAATAATCAACGAAAATTGTTTTATAATAGACTTTTATTGAGTTCTTTCATTATATGTCAATGAGTAAATGTGTGTAACGAAACCTTTTAAATCATGTTTATAAAAGTACATTTGAATCGATGTTGATTTTGCCATTAAAATACAAATCTCAAGAAAATAAAGTAAGCGTATGATTTGTTTCTTTTAACAATATTCATTTCAAAAATGAATAAAATAACAGAAGCCATAAGAATGTATTTGGAATAGAACCTATTTAATTTCGAAATATGATGGAGAAATAATACATTTATATGTGAGAAAGCCCTCAAGTGAAAAAGAGTATTATGAGAACGAAAAACGAATATTCATATCTTGAATATAATCCAATTTATAATTGTTCGATAAAATTAAAATTTCATCTCCGAATATTGATTCTCTTTTTTATTTCATTGATTTAGCATTATCTAATGTCAGAATTGGAATGAGAAATTCAGATTTGCTGATTATTAACAAGAAAACATTAGGAATTTATTTTCATTCCAAGATTTTAGTTTAAAGAGAATGAAATTTATTAAAAACTAATAAAGATATTCTTAGAATTTTCACAAGCTACGAATTGAAAATGATGCTGATAATTATGATCATTAACATGTCGAGATGAGAGAAGAAGATTATTTATGATATGAGGATGAAAGAAATATTTGTTGATAAAATGAATTTGATGACTTCGATGGTTGAGTTGTCGTTAGAATAGTTTCTGTATAACTACTTGTTATACTCCAATGTTGTAACTAAACGATAATTTTAAATTGGAATTTCTTTATTAAATGTTGTATTATAATCCATCAAAATAAGACAATATTTATTCGGTTTGAAAAATCCTTATTAACTATTGATAAAGACGTAAAATTCAAACGATCCTTACCATTTATAACAGAACTGTACGAATATTTCTCAGTTGTATTTAATCTATATAAAGTAAATTTTAATTTGACGAGAGATGATTCAACATTATGATGCATATATGACCAACTAATATTAACAGTTGAATCATATATATATATCAATTGTATTTAAGAAAATTGATACACAAATAAGTGTTTGTCCGACAGATAAGTTCAAGAAAATTATCATTATTAACATTAGAAGAAGAGTTCCTAGAAATGATGTTTTATTATTTTATTTCAACCATATTTTTCTTTACTGAAACGCAAAAGAAACATGTGTAATATGGACAACAGAAATTCCCATCATTTCAGTTTGAGAGACTTTGACTTTTTAACCTTTATTCAATTTCTTCAGTAAGTAATTAACTTTTTCGAATAAATACAAGAAGAATGCAAGAAAGAAAGACATGATCATTATATACAATTGGTGATCTATTTTTCGAAGAATCTTCTTTATGATTTATAACATAGTTCTATCGAATTCAAATGACTTCATATGTTTATCAGTTACTCTTTTTTCTTTTCTTCTACTCTTTTGAATCAACATATTTTTATCTTGACTAGTAATAACGTCATGCAATTCAGTGTCGTTTTGGTTTATTCATAAGTAACAAAATTCTGCGTGGAAGAGAACTGGAGAAAATTTTCAGTCCGATTTCTTTTCTTCCACGTAAACTCTTGATAATATATTCTCTATGTAATGTATGTCATTTTATAAAAAAAAGAACTCTTCCATTCGCTCCTGTACAAATGTAATGTTTTCGATAAAGCATCAAGTGGATCGCGATTGAGAATACTTTTTAAAATTTCTCACTTATCAAGATTTTTGTTCATATTAAAACGAAATCTGATGTTACTCTTTAAACGACACTTATCCTCCTTCATCGCGTATTCAATACTTTGTATATGATTCGTTATTTATACATATGTGGCCAACAATTCAATTTTTTAGTTTAATAATTCATTTAGGATTTATTAAGAAGACATCTCTTGTACAAATGATAATTTATGAATATGTCCATCATAATTGCATTGTAAAGTAGTTGAACTGTAATAATGACTCCTCTAAGTTTATATGTATGTAAAATAATTCATTTTATTTGCTATTTATGGTATACAATCCCTTAGAAATCGAAATAAGAAGTTATTTACAGTTCAACAGATGAATACCTTCCATCATCTTCATATCTTCAACTATTTCAAGTTTCGATAATTTTTTTTTCAATAAAAAGAAATATTTTCGTCTCGGAAATAATCAAACTGCGAAAATTTCGAATATATTTTTATAATTTCCTTTCACAATATATAATACTTAATTAAATCAATAAATTTCAAAACAATTTCACTTTATATTTCTATCATATGATTTATTCATCTAAAAAACGTCAAAATAATTCAATTTAATCCTTAAAAACGACATATTATATTGTATCTATTCTCATATGCATCAAGAAATTTAATTATATAAAAATATTTATAAAAGATGTATGTAAAAAATACTTCATGTTTGTATGGATATTACATTAACAGTATAATAAAGAGCAACACTTACTACTTTGAATTGCAAAATGATATGTCAAATTATTTTCGATTAGAATAACAGAATTTCATCATTTAGTGTTGTCATGAATCTAAAATAGTATCGTCAGATTTTTTTTCAATAATTATCAGAAGGAATTAAATAAAAAAATATGAAGTATTTTTTCTTAGATAATCAATTTTTAGAGTAATTTTCATTTTTAATTTTAGTATGAGTAAATAGATGATAATTTCATGATTTAATTATGTTATTCGAGCATGATAGACGGCGTAGAATATTTTCTATATCTCTGTCAAATTGATACTTATTCCACTTCGATATTTTAGAAAAGAAAGGTTGAAGAAGTATTTTTTTGAAGAAATTCTATTTGAAAACAGATCAACAAAGTAATTATGAGTAATTATAATGGATCATTATATTCTACAAATGAAATTTCTTTATCTCGTACTGTTCGATTTTGGCTTTTGCTTTTAAGTGAAGTGCCATCACTCATTTGTTCAATTTTTATTATTTTTCATTTATTAATCGATCGACAAGAACGTCGTTCATTGAATAATCATCCAATTATTCTTATGAACATAACAGGATTGTTTTTAAAATGTACTGATGTTCCATTTTATCTTGATTTTATTCGAAATGGAAAAGTATCGCCATCAACACCAATTCATTGTTTAATATGGTGGGTTGGAGCTATCGCTTTCTATTATATAACATGTTTATTAGCTGCTTGGGCTTCAATGGAACGTCATATACTTGTATTTCATAGAGCACGGCTAAATACTGCAAAAGGACGTTTTTTATTTCATTATTTTCCATTAATAATAATATGTATTTATTCAATCATATTTTATACATGGGTTATTTTTATTTTACCTTGTGAAAATATCTATGATTATACTTTACCTGTATGTGGAGCTATACCTTGTTATATAAATGATCCAATATTTGGAGTATGGGAATTAATATTCCATGGTTGTATTTGTACCATAATTACTACAGTGTTTAGTATTGGTTTAGTTATTCGTGTTATAATAGAAAAACTTTCTCGTCATTTACCAATTGAATGGCGTAAACATCGAAAAATGACAATTCAAATGTTAAGTATATCTTCAATATTTATTTTCTTTAATTTACCAATAACAACAATGGCTATAGCTCATCTGGCTGGTTTACCATATGATGTTGGTGCCGAAATACAATTATATTTCTTTTTTCTTTCTTATTGGCTAATATTTTTATTACCTTTCGTTTCTTTAAATTCATTGACAAACTTGAAACAGAAGATCAAGAGATGTTTCGGAATTTTATCTCAACGTCAAACAACTATTGGTGTTCTAAGTACTCGCCGTTAACAGAAACATTCTTTCCTTTTCTACTTCGAATTCGAACACAATTTTAATAAATCGAGAAAGAATATAGTTATACTTTGTTCTCTCTCTCTTGACTTATTATCATATTCGCACAAGTCAATATGGATCTCTTTTCATAACAACTTTGTGAAGAAGATCGTGTGAAATCTCAAACTGTAATTTTTCTTCTATTAAATAAACTTCTCTCAAAATTTCACGTTACTATTAAAATCACTTATTAAACAAGAAAACAAATTGAAGAATTTGAACTACATCAACGTAATCTTTTATTGTTCACACAAAATAACTTCAAACAACGCAAGTAAAGATAATCAAGTTCGGTGGTTTTTCCTAAGCATTATACTTACGAAATACTGAGAAACTAATGTAGAAAAGTTCAGAAATCGAATCTAATCTAATCATATTAATATTTCAACATTACTTTCGATTCCCATTCAAACAAATCTTGAGAAACAAGCGAACGTAGATTTAATCATGTGAAGAAAAAACAAGAATTGTGAGTTATTTTCGTCTATATCTTTCTGTTTAAATAATAAAAAATCTATCTTATTTAAATATGTCATATTATCCTTCACATATTGATTCAACGTTTTTTCATTTTCATTCGAATCAAATGTACATAATACATTCAAAGAAGATAAACAATAAGTATCAAATGATTAAATTGATAATGCAAACTGAAAGAAAAAGACAAAAGAAGCGAAGAAAAGGATGCTTTTGTCATTGATTTCATTCTCTTCAAATGAATGTCAACATTGGTTCAAATCATTTCAACGATAGTTTACAATGTTCTATCATATCCATTTTATTTATGTAATTTTCATTGTTTTTCAAAGTACAAAATATTTAAAATCGATTTTGAGTCGATATCCCACCACAAAACATGGTGATTTCCATCCAATTCTATTCAGGCGTATCGTGAGTCTTTCTCTTTACTCATGAGAAACTTCGTGATAGAATTGTTGTGCAATTTCTGATTGACTCATCAACTCGAAGAACGATGAACGAAAAAATGAAAATGACACCTTGTTCTGCTTTTCTAAAGATTGAAAGAAAGATGTTGCCGCAGAAATAAACAGTAACATAAGACATTTCATCATTCAATCATTCAGATATTCAAATAAAACTAGAAGAAAATGAATTGATTAGAATTCCACATAATGAAATCTTGAGATTTTTATGTAAAATCAACTATCTAACATATTTCCTTAGTTATTTTATACAAAAGATTCCTTTTTCACACGCAGGCAGTTTATCGAAGATTTCTTTTCTCTAGAAATCAGATCAGAATCTAAATAAGAAAACATTTTTTTTGATTTTACATAGAATTCGACATTTGGTTTGCTTAATGTCAAATTCAATAATTCATACGTTTTTGTTCGGTTGATCAAAACTTGGAAGTAACATACAGAAATCCAGCAGATAATAGTTTCATCTCATTTCATTTGATGGATTTCTTAACTAAAAGAAACATTCCAACTTTCGATCAATTCCATCCGTTTTCTTCCAATCAAAGGTAATTTATTTATTTCACGAAAAGAAAACGGAACCTTCAATGCAAACAGAACAGTAAGAGAAATGTTTCTGCATTTTTTGATCAGCAGAGAATTACTGCATGACGAAATATAAACCTTGACGGGAGGAAATGAATTTTTGTTGGAATGAAAAGAAGAAAAAAATGCATTTAAGCAATATCTCAGGACAAAATAATACAAAATAAATAAACACAAGAATTCCAAAACATGATCAGCTTCTGCTATGATCACATTCAGACATTTTCTTGCTTTCGTTATCTTTTCTTCTTGTTTTGTTCGATGGATTTTATGTCTTTACTTTATTGAGTATTAAAAGTATTTTATTTCATTTGACGTTTTTTGAAAGAAGTTTCAATTAGTTTTGGTTTTGATTCAACGAAAAACTGTGGCTTTGGTTTACGATCAAAATCTGTCCATATAGTTCAGCATTGTTGAGCCAGCCATCACTAGCATATGCTCCATCAGCAGCTGAAACCTTTCCATTCGATAACATTGTTGCTGTATGTTGAAATCGTGCAATATTCATATTTCCCGTCACCGCCCATCCTAAAAAGACGATTCTCATAATTTTTAAACAAGTACTTAAAAAGAAGTAAACCTGTAGTTTTCGCATTGATCAGCTGAAATTTGATCAATTGATTGTGGTTGGAGGACTCGCCAGGGACTGGCACATCTGAGAATGCAAGAGAATCCATTTGGTGTTTGGCAAATAATTCTTTCGTTCATGAAATCAACAATGAATAGAAATCTGTTCGCATCTACAATAATGCCTTTGGGATTGGACAATGTTATTGACGTTGAACCTTCGGATACTGTGCCAGCAACGATGATGAACGGATTCCAAGAGTGGACCAATGATTTCGAAAGAACTTGATGACGTGACGTACTGAAATGGAACAGAGCAGATTCTCATGTGAATCAAGAAAGACATCGAAACATTGTTGACAAAGTTGCATCTGCTGGACTGAATATGTTGAATTGGCTTCCAGTCGACTAACACTACCAGCGGTAGAACACGAATCAAAATACACTTCATTTCAGTCGCCAACAAAAACACTCGATGTCATACATTTCCTTCGACAAGAACGACCACTTCTCCTTTCTCTCCATTAGAAAGGAATATCTGATCATTGTTGTTGATGAACACATCAGCAACAGATGATCCAACCAATGTTTGATTTGCAACGATTGTTCCCTGGGGATCACATGAAGCGTTTGCAGAGATATTTGGTTGATTGAATGAGATTCCTAGCGGGAACGAAAAAAAAGATGAAAGATAGAAGATTGAACTTGTATTGTACCGTGACCATCCAAAAATGTGATGAAGAAAACATTTGCAGAACATTTTTATTTTTATTTGTTTAAACAATGTCTTTGATTTTTTTGTATATGTTAAACCCTCATAAAGAATGACGATGAAGTTTCAATGAAAAGTAAAGACTCTGATATAGATTGTGTTTCATAGTTTCAGAACTGAAACATCAATCATAATTCTTCATGAAGCGACAAAATGAAAACAATCACTGTTCGCGCCAAATGCTTTTATCTGGAGAGAATCTTCTGATTGATTGATCAGATCTAGAGTTGATTGTTCAATGCACAACTGAGAATAGGATATGCTCATTGTCAATTACATATATATAAATCAAATGCACCATCAACACAAGCAGAGAGACTCAACGAGAGTAACTGGATTGTTCGAGTTGAAAAGAGCAAGTGGTTCCTCGAACAAAAAGCAAGAAATCAAGACAAGTAGAAAGAGAAGAGTGATACCTGATTGTTAACACTCGTGCCCAGGATGGACGTTTCGACCTCTGGATGAAACCGGCAGGAAAGCACCTATTTTCCGCCTCGTTCCCATCAAAGTCGTGCTGACGACTCCAGAAATAACCAGCCGACAGAAATATTATCCAAATAATCATCAGATGCCCAACCGAAACAGATTCCAACGGAACTGCCAGGAATAGCAAGCAGACTTCCAGCGGAATCCGAACAGGCGGACTATTTCAACTCATTCTGTCTATGTTCTGCCGCTTCCAATGAATTACGCCCGAATTTCATCAGCGGTTCCGGGAGAATCCTAGTCATCGAATTCAGCTCTTTCTCAGAAGTTCCAAAACATTACGATAGCTTTTTGGTAATGAGGGCGGCTGAGAAAAAAGATAAAAACGAGTGGGAACTTGACGGAAGATTAGGATTCCGTTGGTCAGGAAAGTTGATGTCGAATCTACTCGGTTCCGACCGGCTTCCACGTGTAGGGTTCTGGATCCAGATAGTTCTGTGCTGGATTCTTGAACTTGAGTATGTTTCAACTGTATCAAGAGCATCCGAATCATCTGTTCCTCCAACAACGAGGACAGTATCATCTTGTAATAATTCAGCAGCAAAAATCAAAGAAAAGAAAGTATATACCACACATTTTTAATAATTAACGATGCTCACACTCTCACCGTCACCCACAAGGATTGATGAAGTGAAGTATGATGTTTATGCCTGGATGAAATAACAAAAACTATTTTGTTTTTCCAAGAGCCAAAGGTAAAGCGAATTGAAACGACGAATAGCACTTGTTTTAATTTTCGTTTCTTTTTCTTAATGTGCATTCTACATCGATGATATTCGAACATTTGCGAATGTTTGAAAGAAATAATGAACATACATAAAATTTCGATTAATTACAGTTTTAAACGAAATTTGTTGAAAAGACAAACATGAAAAGTGATTTTTTTTCAACTATTCTACTTAACTGTTTATTGGCTGAAAACGAATGTAGTTGTCAAGAGTGATACTCAGCTTGAGTGCGCTTTTTTTTCTGTCAACAAAAACTTCATGGTGAAGAAAGAACGACTAAAACCAACGTGTTCATTTTTCAGAAATACAAAATTGAGAACATCGTTTATTCGTCTTTATATCCAAAAATGTTTGAAAAAACAATCGTTTAACATTTATATTAATAGGTATATAAAGATGTCAATGGAATCAATTCATCATATTGTTTTTTATCGATTACACAAGAAATATTACGCATTTACAATTGTTGTTATATGTTTTCTTGTCATTTGTCAATTTTGTACTTTTACAAACCATGAAAATATTTCCAAATTGTTTATAACAGCAGCAAGAACAGGAACAGATTCATGTGAATCATCTTCAATTCTTTGTAGAAAAGATCATTGTAATATTGATAAAACATTATATAAAAATCAATTAGTTTATAGTGTTAGCATTGTATTGCAAAGTCGTTCTTTGATGTATTGTGCTGTACCAAAAGTGGCAACAAAAACTCTTTTAACATTGATGTTATATGTGCATCTGTTGGATATTCAAAGAAATCTTAGAAATAATTGGACAAATATTGATATAAATAGAACTCGAACAGAACAGACGATTGATATCTCAACATTTATTCAAGATCTTCGACAAGTATGATGAATATATTTGAAATAATATTTGATTATCTTTCATTTTAGAATGGAATTCGAATTCCGAAAACGAAAGAACCAAAATCTCTTGATGAATTTCTTCAAATGTATCTTCATATTCTTCAATTTGGGAATATAAATGGTACATCATCATCTCGACCTCCTCCTAATCCTTGGAGAACAAAATTGACATATTCATTTCCATATATTCGTCTTTTCAATCTTGTTAATTTATCTCAAATATTTTCCTCATCATTTACTCGTATTATCTTTGTTCGTCATCCATTTGAACGTCTTGCATCAGCTTATAAAGAAAGAATAGCAACATTAAGTAAAGATAGAATTGAACCTGAACCTGAATATGACGCAATACGAACCAAAATTTGTTATCAACGTATGTGGCTTAAAAAACCTCATGAACGTGTTTATAATGATCCATGTCAAGGCAATGTTCCTTCATTTGAAGATTTCATTCGATATATTCTTGTTGATACACAATCATCTGTTGGAATATCTCAAATGGATTTTCATTGGCAACCTTATTCATCTATTTGTCAAGTTTGTCAATTGAAATATAATTTTATTGGTCGATATGAAACATTTAATCAGGATTTTAATCATTTAATTCGTTATTTTAATATATTGAATTGGATTATTCAAAAGAAATATTCTTCATCTCATCTTATCAAATGGAATTATCAGAAATTTTATTTCAATTTACCAAATGATTTAATTTGTCAACTTATACGTTTATATGAAGAAGATTTTCGTTTATTTAAATATGAAATAAACCAATATATTAATCGAACGGATTTGATCAGAATATGTAAATATATCTTGAAAAATACAATTTCAATTATCTAATGAAGAAAATATCTTATGTTTTATTAGAATCATTTCAATTAAATTATTTTCTCTATCTTAAATGAATGACTTGAGAATGTTTTTTTTTTAATAAATAACAATCATAGAAGTACTACAGGTATGAACATCTTTCAAAAGAGATTATTCGAA